TTACAGTCTTATGTACACTTCCACAACTCTTACCCTGCGTATGCAAATCTTTTTGACGTCATTCTACCTTCATAGTTTCTCCTGTTTATATCTGATAGGTTGATAAAATAATGAGTAGCTAAATGAATAACTGATATACATCGGATATATTAATCAGACCGTTTTTGTGTAGGATTAGGTGCCGCAAGCGCGCCAAATTCGCCTCCTCCGTCACTTACACCCAGACATCCAGTGGACGGTAGGTTTCTACAGCGCGGTAAAGTTAGTTTTAGGTTCGATATTCGCGACATTCGCTTTCGCGTGCCTCTGTTCTATAGAGTCGACAGTCCTACAAAGATACCACTACCACGATTAGTTTTAACAATATGCAACAACTTTATATCGACATGAAAATATTATTTAAAAACAACCCAAGTGTTCTGTAGCAGCAAATTTAAACCGGAGAAAACTCTGACGTGCCATAGCGGCGCTTGATGCGTAAGGGACCGTCTGACAATTCCACCGATTGGGTTTAAAACTTCCAATGTATTTTAACTAACGTGACTTTTAACATTTAAAATAAAACATTAACAAACTGTAAAGCGTGTATAACTCATAGTGATTTACTACAGGCGGGATTTTGCCAAAACCTTCCTTCATATATGCAGTACAGTACACAATTATAATAAACTACTATAAGTACCTAAACAGCTGTTCAAGGTGGTAGTACATTCCTAGTGTCCAGACTGACTTACTACAGGTGAGATTTTGCAGATATCTCACAGGTGAAATTTTGCCAATATCTTCCTTACTGTACATACAGTATATAATTATTCTTAGAAAACAATTGCTATAATTCACCAAAAGGCTTTTTCATGTTCCAAAGGCTGTAGTATGTTTGTAGTTACAAGACTGATTTACTACAGTTTAAATTTTGCCAATTTCTTTCTTACTGTATGCACAGTACATCATTATTTTTAGAAAACAATTACTGTAATTCACCAAAAGTGTTTTTTCATGTTCCAAAGGCTGTAGCACATTGCTAGTGGCCAGACTTACTACAGGTGAAATTTTGCCAATATCTCCCTTACTGTACATACAGTACATAATTATTCTCAAAACAATTGCTGTAATTTACCAAATGGGTTTTTATGTTCCAAAGGCTGTAGTACATTCCTAGTAGCCAGACTGACTTACTACAGCTGAAATTTTGCCAATATCACCCTTAATGTATGCACAGTACATAATTATTCTTAGAAAACAATTACTGTAATTCA